TAGGTATCGAAAGCATTAATTTTTTATTTGAATTTTTTCTCATACTTATTGTAAGAGGTGACAAAAATCCCCTACCTGAGATGAATAACTAGTTAAATATAACAATCTCTCTGCTTCAGAAATTACTACTAAAACTAGATAATATTATCTTAAACAATAGTTACGCATATTCAATGAGTGTCAAAGATTTATTTTTCAATTCTTTTTTGTGCGGAGTAGTAGGTACATCCATCTTAGTCTCAAAATTTTGCTTATATTTTAAGAAGTCAGCCTCACTCATACTCTCGCACTCTTTTCTTTTTTCTTTAAAGTTTAAAAAAAACTAATAGTTATTTTATATAAAATATCCAGAATCGAGTGATGAAGTTCATATAAATAATCTTGATTACCCGATCCACATATCCCACAATCGATCACTTTTTTTATGACCTTTTAGAGTCACTCCTTCAGGCCTGCGAAGCAATGGTGCTTCGAGTTTACCTATATTCCATGTGCGTCTTACAAATCACACAACCGCAATAATTAACAAAGCAAGAAAAATATATGCTGATAGTGGTGACATTAAAGTATTTGCCACAGCAGGAAGAGGCAAAGCCTCGAGACTAGGTCTCATTTGGATATTCGATTTAATCAAAGAGGACATATGCGGTTTAGCACTAATTTCGCTAATGCTAGTTTCATCGCTTACCTTGAGATTGATCTTAGTATCATTTTTTGGTAGTTCGATAATCTCACCATCGATTTTTTCTATTGGATCCATATTTTTTCTGTGTACAAAATATTTACTGAGATTTTTATTGCCGGAGGCAGACACAGAGTGGCTAGAATCGCTAACAGTAGAAATATTATTGCTTTGCAATGGGGTTATGTCCCTACTAGAATTCGATATAGAACTTTGTTCCTTGCTCTGCGTATTTTTTATTGTGAAAACAAGCTCCTTTAGAGCAACTCTTTGAGTCATGGAGCTCTGCCCCTTATCATTTCCACCGATTATAGATCCTGATATATCCTCAGATTTCAGACGCTCCAATTCACTAATTTTTAAAGCTAATTCAACTATCTTAGACTTGAGAGAGTCGATTTCGGACCCTTTCTTTGATGAGTCTTTCTGAGATAAATCTAGCTTATCTTTTAATAATTTCATCTCATTCCGAAGCAATTTAATCTCCTCTAATTTTGTAGCATGTTTAGCCTTGGATTCCACAAGAGATATATCTTTGTGAGCGTTTTCAATCTGTAGATATCTGTTCTCTTTAATAAGTTCCAGATCATGAGTGCGTAATTTCTGGATCTCAGTATTATCCCCTCCTAGTTTTTTACTCCACTTCTTTCTATCCCGTTCCCATTGTTCTCTTTCTCGATTAAATTTTTTCTTGTTTTTCATACTTATCCCGTAATTTAGCATTGTATGAAACTATCTCAGAAGAATCTTGGAGGGCGTTATATAATTCTTTCTTAAGGTCTATTACATTGATCATATTAAATAAAGAGAAATATTATGAAAAATAACAAAATATGGAACACATATATACTTATCTGATAATGCTATCAAAGAAATTATGCTCCAATATAATTCAACAATAATAGATAATTACTGATTTTTTTTAGAAAATTATTGAATATTAAGTATGTAATTACCTATAATCACTGATCATTTTTTATCATAAGAGATATAGGCGTATTTTAACATTTTCGATAATTTTCGATAATTTTTTATAATTATAAAAAAGATGGAACACATAACTGTAGAATATTATTGTGCTGGTACTTCTTATTTATTACCAGAAGCTATTGAGGAAATCATTCAATCTCGAGGGATCGTTAAAAATGCATGTAGGGAAATGGCTTATAAATATAGTACTTTAACTCGTAGAATATATGAAATTTGGAAAAGACATGCTGAAGGATTACTCTTGCGCAAACAGCAACTAATACATAGCATTGTCTTTTCTGAAATAATGCCCGAAAATAATACTTCAGGTAGGGAGTCAAAGAAAAGAAAACCAGGATCCATTTCTATTGGGCCGGAGACTATCTTTTCAGCTAATAAGGTTGGCATAACCAATATTCTGATAAAAAAAGTAGATGAAATGGATAACTTACGAGCTAGACTTGCACAAAATCGCAAAGAAAGGGAAGAAGCTAAACGTAAGATGAAAAGAGTCTTAGATTCCAATTAATCTATTTTTGTTTTTTCTAAAGTAGATTGCAGAACAGGCCCTAAGGGTGACTCTAAAGGGTCATGGCTCTTTGAGCCTACATACCGTTTCTATATCAGACTTATTTCTATAAGCCTGTAGTTTTTTATTAAGCTCGATTAACTCAGTATTGGATTCGAGTACTTCATATAACGATTTTTCTAACTCCTCATAGCTCATGCATTTTTTTTTTAATGACAGATCATCAGAATCTAGAAGCGGAGCTCCATTGCTTTGCAATAAGCTAAAACCTGCAGGAGCATGCCATTCCTCCAATGTTATATTGTCATCCTTATCACTATCCGTCTCTTGAGAAAGTTGATCAGATATCAAAGGCTTATCATTCTGAGATGCGGTAGCGCAATTTACTTCGAGCTTATTCTTGATCTTATGCATGTTTATTGGAATAAAATACTCTTTACCATTACATACGAGTTTTAATTCTCATTTCGATGCAAGCAAATCGTAATCATATTTATCTAGGAGAGTATTTGGCAGAATTAGCATGGGTTTGGGATATTTAACTACCGCAAAATCGGAACATATAGTACAACCTGGAATAAAGTCTACTGCTACATTTCTGGTAATTCCAAGAGATTCTGTAGGAATAGTAGCAATATCTCTAAGATCATGTTTTTCTTTTGTATCAATTACCAACTTTAATCATTTAGCTATATCTTCAGACATAATTGGAAAATTTGCACCAGGATCTACCGTGGCCGCTGGGATTATTAATCATTTGATCTTGCATTTTGTAGTTACAACATCTGTAGCCAGATCTTTTCTCTGAACAAAATCAATTTCCATAGGATCATCCAATATCTCTTCGTCTTCTGAATCAGGTATTGCTGGGATTGGTTCTCGGTGATTTATAAAATTCAGAGTAGTTAAATATTTGTCTTCAGATTTAAGTTTCTCTAACTGATACGGGAGTAAGACCTTTTTAAGCATATCTAACAAAATTTGACGAATATTCTGCTCAAGAATAGTCACTTTATTTTGAGAATTACTAGAGGTGGCAACACCTTTCTGTTTAGTCTTATGGGATTTAGGTATTTTCTTAGAGGACGATCTACCCTTTTGCTTTACTTTTTTTTTTGAATTAATAGCGTTGATAATTTTCACGATTTCAGTCTCAGTTAAGTCATTCACAGAATCAGATTCTGACTCAGAACCAGTCCCAGAGTTGGAGTCAGAATTGGAATTATTATCCGAAGAGTTAGTATCAGACTCAGAATCTGAATCTTTAGAAACCTTATTGATATTACCTTTCTTCTTGGATCCACTCTTAGATTTTCTTTTCCGAGTACACTTGCGAGAATTATATCTGGTCCTATTGCAATTTGAGCATCTGTGTTGGGATATTTTCTTAATCTTCTTCTTGACCTGTCTAGATATAGCCCTATTTATCGACAACTTACTCATATGATTAGCCAGTTCTTCATCTGAGTCGACTTCGACATTTTTTGATGCATTCCCTCCATTTTTCTTAGGCAAGAAGGAAGAAAATTTATCAGTGACTCCTTTAGTAATTGTATCTATTAATGATTGTAAAGTAGATGGACCTGCTAGAGCACTAAGATGATCTGTCGCTTCATCCATTTGAAGCCATTCTTGGTCATTCAAGCGTAAATTAGAATCTCTATACATTTTACCTGGCTCCATTTGACTGGATCATACCAACTGTCTATTTTGCAATTGAGAAGCTGTCTGCGAAGTAACAGGTTGAGATTGTGAAGATGCCATAATACCTTTCACCAAATTTTTGATTTCTTCTTTGGTCATACTTGTATTATTTGTTATATAAGGATCTTTTGTATTAGCTGTAGATCGTGAACGAGAAGTGACTGGATGAGAA